CCTCGGCCCAACACACTGGAGACCTACACGGTCGGCCATACAAGGCCTCAAACGGTGCCATACTGATACTAGACTGAAAGCTGTTGTTGTAGGAAACTCCACCAATGGCAAGTGCCTCTCCCACGTCCCACTAAAGTCCAGGATACAACCTCGAAGCATATCCTCAAGGATTTGAAATAGTACGCTCGGACTGCCCGTCAGTCTGAGGATGATAGGCCGTACTAAAGGTCAACTTAGTGCCCAGGCACTCTGCAAACTCTGCCACAACCTAGCAGTAAAAGAGGATCTCTATTTGAGACGATCGTCATGGACCCCGTGCAATCTCACTATGTCTCGAAATACAAGTCGGCGAGATAAATCTACCGAATCTCTCACGTGCATAGGAAATGAAGTGCGCCGACTTAGTCAACCGGTCTACAACCACCCAAATGGCATCACTACCCGCTGAGTCTCGGAAGACCTACAACGAAGTCCATAAGTGAATGCTCCCACTTCCACTCGGCAATAGGCAAGGGTTTGCAACAAACCCGCTGGCCTCTGATTCTCGGCCTTCACCTGCTGGCAAGTAAGCACTTAGACACGAAACAGCCACATCTCTCTTCATACCTCGCCACCAAAACTGGCGACCCAAGTCTCGGTACATCTTAGTGCCTCCCGGATGCACCGCAAGGCGTGAATGATGGAACTCTCGAAGTACTTCCTCTCGGCAAGACTCCGGCACAAACAGACGGTCTCGTTTTGGTGTTTTTTGGGATCAAAAGAAGACCTGGAGCCCGGTCCGCCCTAGATCCTTGCGTGTTCATCATGGAAGTTGAAGAACAGTTGAGAGAGAAGGGGCTAGAGGTGGTTTTTGGGGTGCTACATCCTAAAACCTACTACTTTTGTGCCTTACAATGAGAGTTTCAAATGAAAAACAATAGAGAGATTCGAAGGACTTACCAGTTTTGGGGGCAAAAGTCGAATCTTCGAGCACGAAGCCAGTCCAGAGCAAGAATGGTGTTTGGAAGAGAGAATTGCACTGCAGCATTTGGGGCTCCTCGAATGGAAGAGAAACAGTAAGGAGGAAAGAGGAAGGGGCAAATGACGAGCTTATAGAAAGAAAAGAAGCACCAAAAATTCGAAAAATGAAGAGGCGGCGAAGTTGGTTGCTCGAGGCCAATGAGGGTCTCCAGTGTGTTGGGCCGAGGTGGGTGATGCACCTTTGTTGGGTCCGGAGTTGATTATGGAGACGACAGAGAAAGTTGAGCTTATCCGTAGGAGGCTTGTTACAGCCCAGAGTCGCCAAAAGAGTTATGCCGACCGTAAGAGGAGGCCTTTGGCGTTTGAGGTAGGTGATCATGTCTTCTTGAAAATATCACCTTGGCAAGGTTTGATGAGATTTGGCAAGAGTGGGAAGTTATCCCCTCGGTTTATTGGTCCTTTTGAAATCCTTGAGAGGGTTGGCGAGGTTGCCTATCGTTTAGCCTTACCGTCGCAGTTGTCCAGAGTGCATGACGTGTTCCATGTGAGTATGCTTCGGAAGTATGAGCCGGATCCATCCCACGTGTTAGATTGGACCGATTTAGAGGTAGATGAGGATGCCTCGTATGAGGAGAGACCGGTTCGGGTCTTAAATAGGCGGGATCAAGTCCTGCGTGGCAAGACCATTCCTTTGGTGAAGGTTTTGTGGAAGCATCACGGAGTGGAGGAAGCCACTTGGGAACGTGAGTTGGAAGTCCGCGAGAAATATCCGGACTTGTTTGTTGATGTGTAACCATGTAATGGAATTTTTGTAATATTGTGGAACGTTAAGAGCATTGTATGTGTCTTACGTTGTAAAACATTGTGAATGTTTTGGTTAATGGAAATTTGTTTTAACATTGTGTATGTTGAGTATACTGTGGAAATGCAGACATAATATTAATGTTGCATGTGTTAAGAAATTGTGAGAAACAGGTTGAAATTGGTAGATTTCAAAGGAATGCATGTTGATAATGCAGGTTGTTACATATAATGTGAAGTGCCTCTTGAAAAGAGATGGGATTGACTGGTAATGGGTCGAGTTGTTTATTATGTTGTAATATTGTTGAGAATGGAGAAAACCTGTTTTTGAAAAAAAACTTGTGTTTAATTTCGGGGACGAAATTCTTTAAGGAGGGGAGGTTATAGCGATCCCAATTGTCCCATTACTATTCTGTTGTGTTCCGGACTTGATTCTGTGAAGTTGGTAGTTGAATCTATCTTGTTGTCGTCCTTTAATTCCGCTTGATTGAGTTTTAGGATGTTTTGGGCAGAGTTGTTACAGGTTGGTTAGGCTTTGGTTTCAATTCTTGTTGCCCAGTTTTTAGGAGGTCCTCTCGAGCGGGTCTTCTTGCGCTCGAGCGGAGATAGTTTTTGTCCTTGACGCTCGAGCGCTGTGTTTTTCGCTCGAGCGGGAATGTCGTATATCAGTTGACTGTGGGGCAGTTTTAAATCACTTTTTCTCATCCTTTCTCTCTCTTACTTTTTCCGAAAAGGCCATTTGAGAGCCTCTCTCTCTAAAACCTTGCCTTCTCTCTAGATATTGATCTAGCTAGGGTTGGTCCAAGCTAGTGTCTTAGCGTGGACAACTCAATCATACCATTCTTTCCATTCGGGTATCATTGTGGGCCAGCAGCGGTAGGGTCGATTCAACCTCCAGCTCCCCCAGTCAAGCCCACCCTCTTAGAGTAGGCAATGGTCTTCCAGACGAGGGTATAAGGCAGGGAGCTGAGCAGGGGCCTCCCTGAAAATGGGTCCAAGCACATACTCTCCTTAAACATGGTGACGAGGAATAAGGATGCGTCCATTGACAGCACACCATTCACCAGCTTTATATTTCTCACATTCTTCATTGATGAATCTCCTTAAAGTCACAGAGCGGCTTACACACTCAAAAACTGGCACTTTTAGAGATGAAGAAGCCATTATTGAGGAGTTGAAAGAGGAAGGTAGATAAGGAGTGGAAAGTTGCAAGCGAGAGCAATAAGGGTGAGAAGGGAAATTTTAGGCAAGAGAATAGGCAAAGCGTGAAGGAAAAAGGGTTTTTAACCTTTCTGTCCAAAAGATTACCAATTTAACCCAACGGGTTAGTTAGACCCGAAATAAACCATTTGATGGTTTTGACTTATGTGGAATTAAAATGCTAATTTCAGAACATAAGGGGTTTTAAAACCACATCATAGAGAGTCTCTTTCAGTAGTAAGTTATGGGAGGGAAGTATATTTTTAAATGCTTAGCTGGGCTTCGAAAGCCTGTAGTTGGCTTCAAAGCCAGTTTTCTCCCAAGATCTTTGAAGCTTATGCTTGTGTGTGTGGGAGGAGATAGGGGATGTACTCCACGGTTTAGGGGAAGATAAGGGATGGACCTCTAAACCGGATGTTGTTTGGGAGGAGATAGGGGATGGACTCCACTGATACAGCTCATATGCTTGTCAGATAATGTGTTGATATAGCTCATATTCTTATCTTTGGAAGTGTTGACATAGCTCATATGCTTGTCATTGGAAGTGTTGATATAGCTAATATGCATATCTGTTGAAATGTGGATGTAGCTTGTATGCGTATCTGTTGAGATGTTGATATAACCAATGTGTTTATCTATTGTACAAGGGGAAATGTTTAATATGAGTCATTGTCTCGTATAAGTGGTTGGCCAGGTTCTGAGCCGTTGATGTAAATTGTGAAATTGATAAGTAATGGAAAGTGGAATGGAATGGAAATGGGTTATGAATCGGTTTATGAAAATTGAACATTTATCAATTGCTAATGTCTTAGTCATTGCTCATACTGTGTTTAGCATATCTCTACTGGGCTGTGGCTCACCCTTTATGGGACATTATTTTCAGGTACAGGTAATATGCCACCCCCAAGGACATAACTTGGATGATGATGAGAGTTGAAGACTTTTCCTTTTGTTTATTTTGATGTATTACATGTAAATTCAAGCCAAGGGCTTAATATGTATTGAGTTAGTACTCTTCTTTTGTAACCAAGTGTTAACTTGGAAAGCTGTAAGCCCGTAGGGCATTTGCTTTTGCTGATTAACATGTAATACTTTTGTAAGAAATTTCTCTGATGAATAGAAATGGTCAGTTTCTTTTATATCAATGCATGTCTAAAATGATGGATTTTATGTATTATTTCAAGGGCGTTACATAAACTAAATGACACCTTGTGTTTGTTTTATTCCCTTGATGTGTGATCTAGTTTTGTAAGGGTGATTTGGCTCAACAGTAAGGCTTGCCATTAGCATCCCTAGTAGCACAGGTTTGAGTCAGACAGTCTCTTCAAAAATGAAAGAAAAACTATGTATATCTTATCCTCTCTAGATCCCATTTTAGCAGAAGCTTCATACACTAGGCTACCCATAATCATGTGCAAAGCACGATGGAAAACTTCTGACAAAACCTATTGAATTGAAGTTACTTCTATGCAAACGGGCACGACAAATAGATAGAATGGTTCACCTTTGTATCTAAATCATCTACTTTCCTTTGTAACAGCAGGGGCTTTGGCTGGGCAAGTAACAAAAGAGAACTTCAACAAGGGTTTGATCTATTCTCCATTCTCTAATATCAGAAAGATCTCGGCCCACATTTGCTGCTAAAGAATATGAACTTGGTGAGTTGGTGAGTGTACCTTTGGAAGTCCATTTGGTTCATCTAGAGTGGGAAGAACATTCACAATAGAGGTGATTAAGGTCATGGCCTCCTTCAATGAGGGTCTCTCTCTGTCTCTCTGTCTCTCTCTCTCTCTCTCTCTCTCTCTCTCTTCAAAATTTTACAATAAGAATCTAAATGAATGGCATGCAGAAACCTCTCATTGTGGCCCTCTCCAACCCAACCTCACAATCTGAGTGCACAGCTGAAGAAGCTTACACCTAGAGTCAGGTGAAAAGAAATTATGCATTTTTTCTTATCCTATAATTTGATGCTTTGATGCAAAGTAATATCTGATTGGATTTAAATACAAAACTAATAAATTTCTCTGTTCTAAAATAAGGGACATGCAATTTTTGACAGTGGAAGTCCATTTGACCCTGTAGAATACAATGTCAAACTCTCTCTACCCGGCAGGTTCTATTACTTTATACTTCCAGTTTTTTGGTGTTATATACTTAATACATCTGAGATGGATACTAAAAACTGATTTTGATGGCACCTTTTGTTTTTTTGCTTTTAGTGATCAATTCAGGCAAATAATGCATATATTTTCCCTGGATTTGGTTTGCGTTTGGTCATCTCTAGTGCAATTCATGTACACGATGAAATGCTTCTGGCAGCCTGTAAGTGCACTACATATTACATAACTAGATACATTATAAGTTGAATACAATTTACTTGCTAATTGAAGAGCAATGAATTCATTCCTTTATTTTATTTCATTTTACTTATGCTTTATTATTTTTTCCCTTTCCTTTGGTCACATATCTATGCAAGTCATAAATAATGAATAGACTCTCTTTAGAAAAAGTTCTGAGATGTTTACTCAGATTTCAATAGAATGTAAACTCAAAAAACACCTTGTGTTTGTTTTATTCCCTTGATGTGTGATCTGGTTCTGTAAGGGCGATTTGCCATTAGCGTTCTTGGTGGGGCAGGTTCAAGTCATTGAAATAGTATCTGTACATCGTGCCCTCTCTAGATATCCTTTTAACAGAAGTTTTTTACACTGGGTTGCCCATAATCATGTGTGAAGCACTATGGAAAACTTTTGGCGAAACCAATTAAATTGCAATTCTAGGTGACAGGCACGACAAATAAATAGAATGGTTCACCCTTGTATCTAAATCATCCACTTTCCTTCGTAACAGCGGAGGCTTTGGCTGAGCAAGTAACAAAAGAGAATTTGGACAAGGGTTTGATCTATCCATCATTCTCTAATATCGAAAAGATCTCTGGCCACATTGCTGCTAATATGGCTGCTAAAGCATATGAACTTGGTGAGTTAGTAAGTGTACCTTTGGTTGCTTCATGTGTCTTACCACCGCCGTAATTGCCCCTTGAAGCATGTTTATTTTTATGACTTTCTCAATGTTTCATAGGGTTGGCAATGCATCTCCCTCGGCGTGATAATCTGGTGAAGTACGCTGAAAGCTGCACGTATACTCCCAATTACAGAAGCTTTCGATGAATTGTCGAATTGTGAGCACAAACTATGGCTAGTAGTTAATGTAGTGTGTTTCTTCAGAGTCTATTATATATTCTTGTTTGGTGTCTCTCCTTTTCCCTCTACATTCCAATCATGATGTTTCGGAACTTTTGTGGTGTTGTAAGCTTTAGAGTTTATATTAGAACCATGACAGTAAGAGTCGGGTTGGATGAAAGGTTGGTATTAGTTGAAACATTATCAACTTCAGTCTCTACTCGCTACTCACTACCAGTTTAGTACTCTCTGTGAAGTCACAAAAGCTGTGGAAATATGTAGAAATTCAGACTGACCTGTGAAGCATCCGCTGCGATGGTACTTGTAGAATTAACCACTTGCCTCAGTTGAGGATTTTCAGACTTACCTGTGAAGCATCCGATGCGGTGGTACTTGTAGAATCAACCACCTGCCTCAATTAAGGATTTGGAATGCCAAGCTTGTCATTCTCAAGATGTATTACTAACTTTCATGCGAAGCTTCACTTGAATCATATGATAGAGAGAGTTCAAAACAGAAGGATATGAGAGAGCGACAGAGTTGGACAAAAGATTTTCAGTCTAACTGCTATGTAATTGTAATAGAATACAGTGTTTTTTAATAAATCAATCCAAGTGTTCTTTGGCCCAAAAGCTAAATTCTATCTTCCCCATTGATCTATTTCTCTTAGTTGTTGGTTCTTAGTGGCCAGTGTGGCAAATGAGCCGAGCTGAGCTCGTTTGTTTATCAAGCTTAAAAAAGAAAAGTTTAAGTTGAGCTTGAATATTTATGCTAATTATTGCGTGAGCTTAGCTCAGTTTCTTAATACTAATTATATTCAAGTTTGGTTTAAAATTTAATAATGAAAAAAAATACTAATTATGCTCGAGTTTGATAAACTCAATAATGAACGAGTTCAGTTTGAAACTTAATAATGAAGAAAAATACTAATTATGCTCAAGTTTGGTTTGAAACGCAATAATGAAGAAAAAAAATTGACGGGAACCTTGAGTGACTCACTTATTAAACGAGCTCAAAAGAGGGCTCAAAAGATTGGTTTGACATTGTTTATATATGTAACAAACTTAGCAAAGTTGAGCTCTTACTGAGTTTGTTAAACAAGTCTAAAAATTTAATTTGAACTTGCTTATATATGTAACAAACTGAGCAAGGTTGAACTTTTTATTCATAGTGTTACACCATGTAGACAACACGAGGCGGGAAATTGAGTTGATAAATATAACTTAAAATGAAATAATTCAATAAAATTAACTTGCTCAACTCAAGTAAAATAAAAGAATGAATATATAAAACATGAGCAATAATGTGTGAGCAAATCAAGTCAAAGCAAAACAGAGTTGAAAGTATAAATATAAAGGAGGGAGGGAGAGAGAGAGAGAGAGAGAGAGAGAGAGAGAGAGAAGGAAAACACAAGATTTATAGTGGTTCGGTTTCAACCCAAACCTACGTCCATTCCTCAAAGCTCCCCCTCGAGTATTTCCACTATTTATCTAATAGATTTACACTAGCAAATTTACCGAGTACTTGCAAGACTTTTGCAACAAAAATTTTGTTCCAAAAATCCCAAAAAGCAAACCCACCAAAACAGCCCCTCTTTCGGTGTTACCAAATCTCTCAGGTGTCTCTCTCTCAAACACTCACAATGAAGCTCATGGGTATAACAACCCTTCACAGATGATTTGTAGAAAAAAATGCGTAAAGTATTTTGTACAAGAAACTCCTAAAGAGTTGGATTTAAACAATTAAAGTTCATAGAGATGATATGAAAGTTACAGTATGAAATTATTGTATTTTCTCCTCTTTGGAGATTATCCCCTCTCTCACTTATAGATGAATGTAGATCTTCTATTTATAGTCCCTCATCTTCATTTGACCGTTGGAGAGCAAATATAGCCATTGGAATAGAAAACACACAATAACGATATGGTGAGCGCAAATGCGACAACGATGTGGTCCAATTCACATGAAGACAAGTCATATCCGAATAAAAATTATGAGAATAACCTATAAAACACATGATGGGATACAGTCACTTTATTTTTTATTTTCTGAAAAAATAATCATATGTGCCCTAATGTTATTAGGTGGTCACACCCCATATGGTTCAAGTAAAAATATCTTTAAATTATTTGAAGCTGAACGAAGTTAGGTGATTTTGATCTTTTCTTTATCATCAAAATGGCAAGGGAAAAAAAAACTAGGATGTGCTAGTGTTGTTGAATTGAGTTGAAATCTGAGAGCAAGGGTTAAAAAAAAAAAAATGGAGAGAATTTACGTAGGCTCTCAACTAGTGATTTTTTTTTTCATATTTCGTTTTCGCCTAACTTTTGGGTTGTGAGAACTGTCTTTTTATAGAATTCTGAGTTTTAATTGTTGCCTCTTGAAACTAAAGGCTTTTACTATTTAGAGTTGTAGCCCTTTTCATATTGGGCTCGGTTGTTTTTTGGGTAATCAAATACTGACTTACCAAAAATCTAAAAACAATTTTTTTTTTTGTTAAAAGTGAATTGTTTTCAGAAAATTTTCAAAAAAATCATTTCCAGTAATAAATAATTTGCAAAAATATTTATTTTTCATTTTCCAGAAAATGAAAATAAAAATAAAAATAAAAAACATTATCAAACAGTAGTGCAACTTGTGGCAATTGCAACCATTAATCAAATGTCAAATGAATGGAACATATATACTAACCAAATATATATTTCCATAGTGAAAACTTATTTTCTCCACAATACACAACATAACCTAATTATTTGCTTGGTGAACTCTTTCAAATGTAAATGTAGCATACAAAATAAAATCTTGCTAGTGATTCAAAAACAAAGATAAAGTTTTAATAAATATTTCGCATATTCTCATACATGTTTTACATAAATATCAACATTACATTTGCAACCAAAAAAAGATTACATGATATTTCTCCAATATTCAACTAAGTGAACCTGTTTCCATACAAACTGTGGCAGGAAGCAGCTAACGTCTGTGTTCTACACTTGAAGCGAAAATCCCAGTAATAATAACAGTAGAGTTTGGCGTATCATTTTTCGTATGACTCGAGAACAACGCGAGTTTCCTTGTACCGCTGGAGCATGTAAGTTTCACATTTGATAGGAGGAAACTTGGTGGAAAAGAAGCATTAAAAAATAGAGAAACTTCACAAAAACAAAGAAGTCGAGCATATCCTTTTTGCATTTTTATTAATGCAAAAAGGTTTTCAATTTTAATTAGACACCAGCTCAGTTATCCAGGGAGCCTTTAAATGCATCCCAAAAATATTGTTGGACATCCCAAATTCAGTATTTTTTTTTTCAAATTTCACTTTATCCCCTTATAGTTTGAGACCAGATCACGTTACCCACATGTGATTTAAATATAGGCATATTTGCCCCATTATAGTTTTACTAAATTGCAATCTAACATCCGTTAACATTAATCATCAAAAGACTATTTTACCCTTGTATGAAAAAAAAACCTAATCCTCTTTATCTCTGATATTATTCAGTATTTTTTTTTTTCAAATTTCACTTTATCCCCTTATAGTTTGAGACCAGATCACGTTATCCACATGTGATTTAAATATAGGCATATTTGCCCCATTATAGTTTTACTAAATTGCAATCTAACATCCGTTAACATTAATCATCAAAAGACTATTTTACCCTTGTATGAAAAAAAAACCTAATCCTCTTTATCTCTGATATTATACACTTAATTTTAAATTAATCACAAATTTTATTAATTAAACCAACTATATTTGAATCACGGACAGGTAGAGTGCCCCAAACTCAAACCACAAGGAGTAAAATTGAATTTTCCCCCATTTTTTAATACCGTTTTACCTCTATGTCAAATTACAAAAAAAGACAAAACCCGAAAATTCATGTACTGTTAAGAAATCTGAGAGTTAAATTCATGTATAATGAATGGTGTAATTCTTAGTCGAAAAATTCTATACAGAATCACAAACTTTAAAAATCAAGAAACCATATCAAACGAATGAATTTTGAACTGAAATTTTTATGTAGATTAATTACATGTTGAATTGCATATCTGAATTTTCTCATAATTTTTGGGAGTCAAAATCCATATAAACTGATACGTTCAAATCTGTCCAGAAAACTGGTTTTAAACAGTAAGTTCGGGAGTGTTGTTCTCTTTGGGTATAAGTCCGAAAATTATCAAATCAGCGTCATTAGAACCGGCTACGAGTCTAGTTTCGTACGTTTTCGACCTTGCATTGATTGCTCATGTATATTAAGAGAACCATTAATTTCTTTAAAGTGCTGCAGAAAACAACCTATTTAGATATAATTAATTGTAGATAATTATTTTGACAAGCAAATCAAGTGAAACCATTTGGGTTTGAAACTTAGGATATATTAGTTGATATCTGGAGGGTTTTAGAATTTTCCGAACGACATGGAGTGGGTTTTTTAATTTTCAAAGTTAGCAAATAGATTGGGAAAACTAGTTTAAAATTCTGTTTTATCTTAAAGTTACTTTTAATTAAGTTTCGATTTGAACCCATGTCTTGGGTGATTTTAGACCTCGAAGAACATGAACTTAGGTAGTATTTAAGAGTAACAGTGAGTTGGGTTGAGTCGTGTTAGTGCGCTTTAGTTTGGGGTTACTTAGTTCTTATTCTTTAGTAATTTTAGATTAGTAGTGACATGTAGTTTACATACTTGGTTCAGGGCACTAGTTGGACTTTCATACTCTATTTGAGGATTATATTATTTCGTTTTCAGGTGAGTAGTTGCATGCTACATATTTTTATAAATCTTCCCCTACCCTGAACTGTTGGAAAATTAAATTGTTGTTTCAAGCTTGGAGTACTCGGTGAGTTTCATGCTTTAGCATCCTTGCATGCGTGTGAGTGATTGCCATGAAT